GGGGGGGGGGGGGGGGGGGGGGAGGGGGAGTGTGCGTGTTGGGTGGGGGGCGGTAATGATGGAAGTCTCGGGAGAGGGCGGGCTGAGTCGCCCAAGAGACCACGGGGAGACGAGGACGAGGGGCGCGCTTCCCGGGTCCCCCCAACGCGCGCGCTCCCCGAGAAAGCAGGCCACTCCAGTCCATTCAAAGGGAGGGGCTGTCTTCAGATGGGGCGAAGGGAGATACTCTGGCCGCCAGAAAAGCCCCCGTTTCTGCTCGGCTGCAGAATCTCCCCAGGCTGGAGAGTCCGGTGAGGAGCCGGGAGGTGTTGCACGACCTGCGGGAAGGTCGGCTCCAAACGCCCAGAAGAGTCCCCATTCCGGCCGCTGCCCCGTGTCCCAGGCTGCAGAAGTCGGGAAAGGCGCACCCCGCCCCAATCCCCAGCTCAGCGCGCCTCGAAACTCCCACCCCGAGCGGCTGTGTGCCTCCGCGCCGGTAATTAATTACCGAACTCAAGGGGGAATATGCAAACCGCATCTTCCTAACTCCACAGGGCTTAAGTGATTGGAAACAGATTATTATCTTGTTTGTCTTTTGTCTGTTTTACTTATCCCGCTGCCGTCTGTCGAGTTGTAATGTTGATACTCTTTACTCTAGGAGGAAGATTTTTATATAGTAAATTCCATCAACATCTTGTATAAGTGACATTGCGTCTCCATGCATTACCCTGTTAAGACACAAGCGGTTTATTAGTTACATATAGGAGGGGATTTCGCTGCGTGGTCGCCATCTGTTAGCGCTGTTAGGGTGGGATAATTCGTTTAATAGTGGGTCTGCTGGCGTTTTTCGGAGGCTGTGCGCCCTGGAAGGTGGAGGGCTGACGAGGGCCGACGAGGGCCAAGCAGGATCCCCTGCGACTGGGCTGGAGCGAGGGGGTTCTGGACTGAGGGTGGGCTGTGCTGAGGCTCCCAGGGCGATTCCAAGGGGCTGTGACCTGGACAGGATGGGTAAGCTCAGCTACTGGAGGGAGAAGACCAGGCCGGGGCTTCTGGAAGCAGAGCCCTCATCTCCTGCCACCAGGCATCCAGCTCCAGCCCCGGGTGACTCGCCCGCATCCAGGCTCTGGGGGGTGGAGGGGCCAGAGCTGCTCTCTGAGACTGCCCACATTCCTCCTACCTCCCCGGCCTGGCACCGCAGCTGCTGGGGCCAGGCTGTGCACTGGCATTTAAGCACATCCAGGAGGTGAGGGTGGGTGGATTTGTCCTAGACAGAGCCTGGCACACAGGCACGCAGCAGCCAGCATGGTGTGCAGAGCTGGGGCTAGAAAGACACAGCAGACCCGGCTCTTCAGGTACCCACTTGGGGGTGGAGGTGGCGGCTAGGCTCAGCACACCTAGTCCAGGGCAAGGGAGAAAGCTCCCATCTAGATGGCGGCTTTTAATGACTGTACAGTAGTTCCCCACACACACCCCAAAATCCGCCTGGAACACAGTGAGAATCCTTCATCGCAGCCTTTGAGCCGGATGCTGGATTTGGATGCCCAGCAGAGAGGCAGAGGCAGAGAAATGAAAACAGAGAAACCGAAAAAGAAAGTGATGGGGCAACAGAGGGAGAGGGAAACAAAAGAAGAACAGAGGCTGAAATCAAGAAAGAGAGACAGAAAGGAAATGAAGCGAAGAGAACTCAGGAGAGAGGGAGAAACCCCAGTGAGACAAAGACCAAGTAGGCAGCGCAATTCGCCTCCACTTGGAGCCTGGGTGCCTCTCTCCTCTCAGGTTCTTGCTTCTCTGTCCCTGCCCTGTCTGAGCTCAAGGACCCTTCATACCCCAGGAGGGCAGGGCCAGGCTCTGCCAGAAACTGCAATTTATTTCATTTTGGGCTCCTGGAGCTCTCCCAGCCAGGCCTGGCAGACCAGGCAAGATCCGGCCTGCTTGTTCCTGGCTGAGCCGAGCTCCGTCCAGCCACACCTGTCCCTTGCTCGGCAAGTTGGAGGATGGAGTAACAGCAGAAGCCACCCAGTCTGGGGACTCCTTTTCAGAAGCCCAGCTTCTGGGTCAATGCCCCACCCAGTGACCAGCACCTGTCAATTCCCTGTCAGAAGCCAGATCATTTCACACAGAAACTGTGGACTGTGGGGGGAAGCTGGAGGTCTGGACAGGAACCAGGGGGGAAAGTGAACATCTCTGTGCCTCCACCAACTGCCCCAATACAGGCATTCACAAATCGTGCTCCCACTCAAATCTACAAAGGCAAAAGCACACTAGAAGTGCACACACAAACATACACCTCCCCTCAAAAATAAACACTACAGGAGTCACACAACCAAGACTACTGCTATCTGCAGGAATACATACATGCAGACACACACACGTAATGACTGGCCCACAGACACAGATCCAAAAACTTCTGCACTCACAAGCACAGCCAGCCCGGCTCAGTCAGTCACATACACGCACACTCACCTGCACGCGATTCAGATGTTTCAAAGTCCACTTTCACATCAATGTTACCACACACCTGTACAAGTAATCTTACACAGACGCACACTCACGCAGGCAAACACCATCACATTCATGTGACTGCAGGTACGTATGCACATATATATATATATATATATATATATATATATACACACAGACCAAGAAAAACAGGAGTGCACAGACTAATACACACAAATATTAGCAGAACTATGCACAGAAATAAACACACAAAAAATACACGTGCCAAAATGTATTCACATGATTGATTCATGAGTAACTCTAAAGAGCGGCAAAAACAGGATTCTCAAACAGCAAATGTATACTAACAAACTCAGCAAATGCACCCAAACACACACCAACAGGCAAGCCTTAGCGCACACACATGCTCCTCTGGCCCCCAGCCTGTGGGCCCAGGCCCTACAGACCCCATTAGCCCTCTTTCCTGGACCGGGAAGGGAAAATCCCCACTTTGCCTGCCTGCCCTCCCTAACTTAGAGCACCCCGGTCAGTCGCTGGGTAGGCACCTTGGGAAAGGAGGCATGGCCCTCTCCCTCCCCCCACCAGAGTCACGTTCCCCCTCCACACACAGCTGCGAACGCCCCACACACCCTCCGAGCCCCGTGGAATGGCACTTCCTGCTTCCTATGATGGATCGAACTTGCACACTCCGTCCGGACGCCCAGCGTGTGCAAACAGCGCCCCGCGCAATCTCCAGCGTACCCTCCTCGGCCGCGCTACCCACTCACCGCGGCGCCCCGACTGGCTGACCCGGGATCTGGAAGGTGCAGCGAGGAAAGCGGAGACGCGGTGAACATCACTTGAGAGCTGCCTTCGGGAAGAGGCCGGTGCATCCTGGATCTCTTCCTCCCCACATCTACCCCGAGCCCCGTGGCCAGCGCGCTCTGGCTGGAAACAACTCCGCGGTCTGAGACCGGGCCGGAGGACATCCCCCGCCAACCTGGGTCTGGGCTTGCTCGGCCTCTCTCTCTCTCTCTCTCTCTCTCTCTCTCTCCCTGAGAAAGGCCGGGCTGGGCCCCAGCCCCCGCATATGACAAAGGAAGTCCCGAGAACCTCGCCGCTCCCCAGGGGTGCGCGGATGGGGGAGTCCAAAACGACGGGCTGGGCTGGGGAAGAGGAGGCAGACGTAGAGCGCGATCCCGGCCTCGGGCAACTTCTGCAAGTTCCGTGGATTGTGAAGGGGGCAGAGGTCCCCCTCCCACTAGGCCTTCGAACCCCAGCCCCCCAAATATGTGTGAAGAGAGAGAAGAGAGACGCAGTTTTCAGATCGCGCGGCCCCCAGCCCCAAGCCCCAAACTGGAAGGTAGATACTTACTTAGCCTCCGAACCAGGTACAAGCTAATACTCAACAATACTGATGCCTTGTTTTTTTTGCTCTGTCCGGACCGCAACGCTGTAGCCAATTTAGATATGCTATAAATTTAAGAGGTTGCCATGGCCACCGCGTACCCATTGGCCGCCGGGCCCCCTACGTGCCTCGCCACGTCACCAAATCTGAATAAGGATGCGCGAATTAGGCGGCGGCCAGACAAAGATGAGGATAGGAACCGCTTGAAAGTGGGGGAAAGTGCCGGCGCCTCCGCCACCGGGAAAGCCGCTCGGCAGAGGCGAAGCCCGCGGCCACCCAAGATACACTGGGGCGCGCGGCCCGGGCCATGAGGCTGTGAACGCCACCACTCCCCACCCCGCCCAGGGCAGCCCAGCGCCAGGCCAGCAATCACCCAAGGACCTGACCGGCTGAGTCTTGGTTCGGACCGGACTCGCCCGGCGGCGGCCAAGAGAAGAGGCGGAGAGCAGCGGCGGGGCCAGGGGGCCCGAGGGCCGGGGGCCCAAAGGGAGGGCAAGGCGGCCCGAGCCGCCGGGGCGCGGGGCTATGATGGTGCACTGTGCTGGTTGCGAGCGGCCCATCCTCGACCGCTTTCTGCTGAACGTGCTAGACCGCGCGTGGCACATCAAGTGCGTTCAGTGCTGCGAGTGTAAGACCAACCTCTCGGAGAAGTGCTTCTCGCGCGAGGGCAAGCTCTACTGCAAAACTGACTTCTTCAGGTAAGGAGCCGCGCCGCCCTGTTGCCCGAGCGCCCGCCCTGCAGGCGCTCCGCTGGGGCGCCGGGGAAGGGGACACCACGAAACCCATCCCGGCCTCGCAGGCCCACCACATTCAATGGGGAGCCGGGGAGCCCACCACTCTCCTGCTGCCCTCGGTCCAACAAGGGCCTGAACCCAGGCAGAGTGAGAGGCTGCTTGTAGCCGGCTTTTCCAGGCCGGCTTGGATCGGTGGTGGGCCAGGCGGAGGAAGCCTGACAAACTTGCTGCCCATCCGTCTCTGCCTCTTGCTAGCTGAGGCCACCCCAAGGGTGGAAGCTTCCAGCCAGGCTCGGAGAGACTAAGGATTTCTGCGAAGTTAGGGGCAGGCAGAGTGCGGAGTCCAGAAGCTGGGCTCCAGGCAGGTGGGACCCCCAGAGTGCTTCTGGACAAACAGAAACTTCCCAGCTCCTGAGGGGACTCAGCCAGAAAGGCCTCCCCTGGTGATGGGGCAGGGGAGCTTCTCCTCACTCCCCCCATCAACTCCTTAAACATTTTCTCCTCTGTTGAAAGTACAAATGAAATGGAAGCCGGAATCAGGACCTCCAGAGTCCAGCCTTGCTGCCCACGGGCGCCCTCAGGCAGGTCACAGCAGATCACTTCTCTGAGCCTCACTTTCCCAGCTGAGAAACGCCAAAGGTCGGCCTGGAAGGCTGTGGGGTTTTTGGCAGCTCAGCCCTGCCTGCTTCCCCCGGCTTTGTGAGTGCCAGCTGCGTGGAAGGAAGGGGGGGCGTGATTAACGCCCTGGAGAAAGGCTGCTCGCCGGCCCCAGTACCTGGCACTAGGGAACTTGAATAGGAGAAAAGGTCAGACGCGCCTTTACACGTGTAAACTCCTCGGCCCCAGAGGCCCAAGGCCCCTAATGTGGTGGTGCTTGCAAAGCACCTAATGATTTTTGATAAGGTGCATATGGCCAATTATGCTGCCGGATAAGGCCAAAAGTGACTTATGGCTTCTAATGCCCTCACTACATCAACGTCACCCAAATTCGCCCTGTTTAGAGCCGTGGGTAGGAGGAGACGTGGGGCCCCAGAGTCCTGGGCCCTCGCCCTCCCCCTCCCCCGGCACCTCGCCCCTCCCAGTGCCGGTCTGCACCATCCATTTCGGGGGAGGCCAGCCTTCTCCCAGCGCTCAGGGGAGAGACAAGAGGATTCAGACCAGGAACACAGCACAGGTGGCACTGCAGAGAGCCCGGGTTCTGGCCGTGCAGGTTTTGGATCGCCTTCTGGTCGCATTTTCCCACTGCCTGCCTGAGGACCAGCAGAGGGTTCCCTCCTGCCTGCTAAGGTTCAGCTCAGAAGAGGGGCTCCCCCCAGCTCCATCGCTAGGACCCGACGACAGCCAGGCTCATTGGCCCTACCTGGACCCCAGCAGACTGTTAAGGATCCAGGAGGCAAAGCCGAGAACTGGTCCAAACCCGGCCTGCCTGCCTTAAAACGCTTCAGACCTCCAGAGCAGAGTTTGCCAGGAGCAGCCCAGGCCCATCTGGTAGGGATGTGGGGTGGGGGAGGGGCGCCACTTGAGGTGCTCTGGGCCGTCTGCTGGGCTGAAGACGACGGCGGCGCCCATTGCTGGGGGCCCAGCAGAGTCCAAATAAACCTGACCGAGGCATGACAGTCCCAGTCCCAAGAACAGACCTGGATGTTTGTCTCACGTCTTGCATTCTGGCCAGGGAGGACAGGATTGGGATCTCATTTGACGGATGTGGAAACGGAGGCTTTTCAGAAGCTAGGGCAGGGTGGGAGGTCAGGGCTTCGGGAGGAGGGGACACTGGGCTGGCCCCGGGTGACAGGCCGTGCTGTGTCTGCAGGCGCTTCGGCACTAAGTGCGCGGGCTGCGCGCAAGGCATCTCGCCCAGTGACCTGGTGCGTAAGGCCCGCGGCAAAGTCTTCCACCTCAGCTGCTTCACCTGCACGGTCTGCAACAAGCAGCTGTCCACGGGTGAGGAGCTCTACGTCATCGACGAGAACAAGTTTGTGTGCAAGGACGACTACCTGAGCTCGGCCAGCCTCAAGGAGGGCAGCCTCAACTCAGGTAGGAGGCCCCCTGCCCCTCCCCAGGCCCGGTCCCGGCGCCCTCCAGCCAAGGCCTGCCTGCGCTCCCTCCTTTGCCCCCCTGCGGTGCACGGCTCGGAGCTCTCCACTCGCGCCGGGCAGGTCAAGGTGGCGGGGAGGTGCGGGGGCTGGGAAAGAGAGTCAGAGTTTGGAGGCAGCCTTCCAGGATGCCTACACTGCCAGCTCTAACCCGCCCTCCTCCGATTCAGGAGGCTTTTCCAAGCGGCCCTCCTCCCCCAGTTTGGAACCGCACAATTTCCCCTTTCCGAGTCTTTTCACCTCCTGGTAATTTCTAGCTGCACTGGGAGGACACCAATTGGGGTCTCGAGGAAAGAGAGGAGGGAGAGGAAGATCCCCGGCCCGCAGGGCATCTGTACCCTCCTCCCGTCCCCTCTCCTAGAAGGCCGGGCTCTCCGGAGAGCGCGACTCCCCTTTCCCAAGCACTAGCTGAAAAGTGCTGAGAGGGCTTGAGAAGGGCGCTTCCAAAGGCCCAGCCCCCGCCTGGAGGGAGTGGGCGGGCGCCGGGCCCCTGGGGGAGGGGCTGTCGCCGGCTTTGGGAGGGAACCCGCCGGGGTTGGCGGTGGCCTGAGCCTGCAGGAACCGGCTACCCGACTGGAGAGGTCTCGGGCCGCCGCTGACACCCTGTCCCCTTCCCGCTCCGTCCTCTCGCAGTGTCGTCCTGTACGGACCGCAGCTTGTCCCCGGACCTCCAGGACCCACTCCAGGACGATCCCAAGGAGACGGACAACTCGACGTCGTCGGACAAGGAGACGGCCAACAACGAGAACGAGGAGCAGAACTCGGGCACGAAGCGGCGCGGCCCGCGCACCACCATCAAAGCCAAGCAGCTGGAGACGCTCAAGGCCGCCTTCGCCGCCACGCCCAAGCCCACGCGCCACATCCGCGAGCAGCTGGCGCAGGAGACCGGCCTCAACATGCGCGTCATCCAGGTGCGGCCCGGGTCGGCTCTGGCCGGGTCACCCCTCCGCAGCCCCGCTGTGTCCGCGAGCTGTGAAGCTCGGAGGAGCCTCCCACCCAGCCTCCTTGGCTAGGAGCGCGCCGAGCCCGCTCTAGGCGCAGACGGTGCGCCGGGGATCGGGGCCGGCGGGCCACACTCCGAGCCAAAAGATTCAGCCTAGCCCTGCTGGCTTCCGGCGGCGTCACCCTGGGCGGGTCACTTCACATCTCTGAATCCCACCCCCGCCCCTTTCAGGGAAGGTTTTAAGCCTCGCTTAAAGGACAGGACCTTTCCCGTCCTCCCGTCCTCTGAGCAGAGAAAGAGGCGATGCTCTTCACGTGCTCCTTCCCTGCGCCCGACGCGAGGGCAGGCAGACAAACGGCCAGAGCCCGGCTGGGGAGTCGCGGGGCCGAGACCAGAGCCGTGCCGGGCGGCGGGCATTCATAAAGCCGTCAGGCCGCGGACCAGGAAGCCCAAGTCTTTACGAGTCGCCCCACGGGTCCGCGAAATCCTTCATCCTTGGCTGGTTCGCCGAGGCCCCTCTCCGCCCCTTTGGTCTAATCCGGCCCGGCCCCCGGCTCAGGGCGTTCTCGGTGCGGAGGAGGCGCTAGGACCCAGCGGGGGTGGCCCGGGCAGGGAGAGAAGGGGACCCGGAACATAGTTCCCAACCCCTTCCTCCGTCCCAGGTGTGGTTCCAGAACCGACGGTCCAAAGAGCGCCGGATGAAACAGCTGAGCGCCCTGGGCGCCCGGAGACACGCCTTCTTCCGGAGTCCGAGGCGCATGCGCCCGTTGGGCGGCCGTTTGGACGAGTCTGAGATGTTGGGGTCCACTCCGTACACCTACTACGGAGGTAAGCAACCTCCTAGGACGCGGTGCCCCACACCTAGGTCAATGCTGCTTGAGGGTGCGGGGCCGGATAGCCGTGATCTCGGGCTGCGCCTGGACCCCTCCCTCCCTTCTACCGCATCAACACAGGTACACTCACCCGCACGCACTTCCTGGACAGAAAATCAGACACATGGGTTCACTCAACCATGCGGTGGTACCAACAGATAATAAACACGTGAGAAAAGCAGTGACACACTCACCCATGCAGGACCACACGAGTTCAGAGACCTCGGGGACACGCATCTAGACACATGATCACCCACAACCAACACAGGTATACCCCACCGCCTAGATATACTGGCACTCTCACGCGTCATAACAAGTCAGGCACTTATGCATGCACCGCATCCCAACCCGATGCACAGCCCTTGCTGCCCTGGCCCACGGCCTGGTGTATTTGGCACCAGCAGGAAAGCAGGCACAGGAGGGCAACACCGGCAGTAGGGATGGAGGGGTCAGGATTCATCTGGGCTTGCCCCCTTGCTATCTTCCAAGTCTGCATCTCCTGTCGGGCTACAGGGACTGTGTACACTGCATCTGGCCCGGTTAGCCCAGATGCTGGCAGTTGCTCTGGACTAGGACCCCTGCCCACCCTCCAGCTTCAAGCGCACCAGGGTCCATCAGGGCTGGGGTGGGCAAGGATTGAGCCAACCCAGTTATGCACTCTCTGTCTTTGGGGCTGCAGAGGGCGAGCAGCCCGCTTTGCACAGAGGAATTTCATGGTGTTAGGAGGCTCGGGCCTGGGTGAACTCTCCTCTTAGGTCACCCCTTCCCTTCCTCCTTCCCTCCTCTCTCCTTCCTTCACCCCCTCTGTTAACTTACTTCACTCTGCTTCCTGGATTACCTCTTCTGACTCCCTCACCTCCGTTTTTCGTTTTTTGTTTTTGTTGTTGTTGATTTTTTGGTTTTTGGTTTTTTTGAGACCCAGTTGTTTTGGGGCACTACTTGCACTGACTCGCGGTCCTATGCATTTCAGACTTGTGGACTCTAGGAAGGCACCTTCCCCTTCTATTCCCGAGCCTCTGAATTTGGGGAGCCCC